GCGGCTCAGGCGTTTGTAAGGAAATCAATTCAGTCATATTTTGTGCTATTAGTTATTCTTATATGTATACATTATTAGCTTATTCCAAACGCTGCCTGTACAGAAATCAATGCAGTCATTATGTAGATACGTATTACCTACTCACAGTTTCCGCATTTTATTTGAAAAGGTCAAGTTGTTTTAAGTAATAAGTTTCGGGATAATAGTCACAAATAACATAGTATGTATGACTTTAATAGATATAAATATTTGGGAAACGAGCTATAAGCACAATCATAGCACGCACTTGTAAGCGATTTTGCAGTTTTGGTTTAAAAAGACATAAGAAAAAAAGTAGTGCGCTAGTGGGGTTTGGGCCTTGAGATCTAAGTAATATTTTTGGTAAATACTTACACCACCACCAGCTAAAGTGTTCTCGTGCTGCCATTTCTCGAGGTCGAAAGTGTCAAAGTCGTCAGCGAAGATGAGAGCACCAGAACAGACGGTGACTGGTGCGTGGGTACCACTGACGGTGGTCACACTGGGGGTGCAAGCCGCGCCCAGCGACGCGATCGCCAATACTCCAGCAAACACCGACCACATTTCTGTAATAGCATCTATTAGAGTTAGCTGCCCAGTTCTGTTGGTGTATATAGTTAGATAGTATTTACAGTGACTGGACAACTAGCTGCTGAAGTAACGTGTTTTGGTTCGATTAGTGCAGCAGATTAACTCGTCGAGTACCGGTTTTGTAGACACAATTATAGAACAATAGGTTGCGGTCACCGGTGACCGCTTGGTGTTTGACAGTTTAATAAACTTTTCACCACAGTTACGGACTTACTTTTAGTCTAGACTGTGTAAAGGAAGAATTAAAAAAAAAACAGATACATTATAGCGGTAGGTACGGTAATTAGGCACTGGTAAAAAGGACGATAAAGTAAGAAATATTGATATCTGTAATTTTATACTTATCTTTATAAAATTTTCTCTCCAAGAAAATATCTTACAAAATAAATAAAACAAAACACTTACCGATGAAAATTTTGCCGAAACTGAACTGGTATCTGTACTATCTTGAATTTATACGTACTCAGCACCTAGATAATACGACACTTGAATCAAGATTAAGGCTGAGGAGACACAGTAGTAAAGTCATTGAGACGGAGAAAAAAGGTGACGATAAGGAACAATTTTATGTAAAAATACGGTGTAGCACTGGGTTAAGATAATAATCAAATTGCAATCACATTTAATTTTGTTATTAAATAAGTGTGCTCTGATTAGAGTCATTAATACCACAATTGAAAGACAGAATTGATTTATCAATCTTTTCCAATCACAGGGAATAACGGTCTGTGCTGTCATTAGTACTGTGTTACTAATTTATTGCGAGGCAAAATAGTAAAGTGGGAAATCACACTGTGGTCATAGAAACCCAGCCAAGTGGAACTAAAACATTTTATTCAATTGCACGACAGATGACGCTATTGAATAGTCATATACCATTACGTATGAAAGTATTTAAATCTCAAATAACAACAGATAATAATAGATCATAAGAATATTGTTATGTTTGTATGGTTGTTTTGTATGTGTAGTTTACCTACATATATAACTATCTTATTTAAGTTTTATTATGTACCGTGCAGTCCTGCAATACTATTACCATCAGTAAAGTTAATCACAAAAAAGGTTTATCTTATAGGTTTATTATATTAGATTTATTGATAAGAAACTTTATCAACCATTATGTACCTAGATGAAAAGCAAATTAAATTTAGACATTTTTTTTGCGTCAAAATGACTTTAAAATTATACAGAAACCATAAAATTTTTCGTGACACATTTTAGACAATATGGCCATTTAATTTATTTAAATACATTTTATACAAAATTCTGTGTAAAATTTTCAACCTGACGTAATATATAAAAATGGAAAAGATCACTGTCTATCAGGAGTATCATAATTGGAAACACTGAGTAAAATGCCATGGAGTTATGGTGAGTCTTCATTAGGCGACGCTGTTCATACCGAAGAGACTATTCTTTATTAATATTGTAATGTGTAACTGTGTTTGTTTATATTTCTTTCTTTCATCCGTCATGACCAAAACGCCTCCACTTAAATCTCGCGCATTTAAGATCACAAACCTTTACTCAACTTTTCAGCTAATAACAAACTTTTATGTGTTTCCAGATGGCATCAGCAATAATTATCCTTCCGAGGCGTATGTGTCCAGTTGCAACACGTGTTATTGCAACAAATTTTCACAGTCTTTATAGTTTTACTAAAACTATCCCTGCTCTACAAAATTCCAGACCAAATTATACGTTAACTACTAACTTCTATAACCAGTCTCTTGTTGAATTTCGGCACCTAAAACCTCGGAGAAATGATTGTGGCGATGATAAATTGATTCAACCTGCAAAGAGTTCTTCAAGTTTTCTCAAAGACTTTCAAAAGTCTTTTGGGTTTAGCAAACGAAACGAAGATCCCAAAAAAAACCGAAAGAGGCGAGTGCCTAGGTTAATTTTGTTGCAAAATCCTTTTACATGGTTGATGATAAAAATTGACTTTAGCGTCCTTCGCAATATTTGGGATCCGACATTTCACGAGCGAGAGTTCAAATTTGGGACCAAACAGGTGTTGTAAACTTTAATTTTATACTAATTTTATTTAAAAAATCCCAAACTGATCGATTTTCTGGTTAATAATGATAAAAAAACACATTCTTGAACGTCGATTTTATCATGTATGCATGGCTAGATTGCATTGATGATAACTGCTTCGAACTACTTCTAACATACTTATTAAAACAGTTACGTATTTTGTCAGGCTATATCAAGAGTGACACAAGTTATTAGTACGGGCCAGCTAAAGGAACTTAATGGCTTGTTGACAAAACCAGCCCGGCTGAGTTTGGTGCGAGAATTAGATCGTAACTGGGGCGAAAAGCAGCGCTCCCTACTAGCACTCAAAAATGATGATATACAGATCTCATCCCCTCGCAAAGTTTATTTTATCAGGATAGGTGGTACGTTGGTTTTATTTTTACCTAATAAGATCTCCATTATTGAAAAGTTTTTGTAGATAGCTGAAGTGTTATTTTTTTTTTAAACGTTGCCCCACACTAGGACTTTCTCCTGTGTCGTGGGTGCGTTTACAAACATACAAGTTCACGTACACAATGACACCCAGACCCGAAACAACAATTTGTGGATCACACAAAGTGTTGTTCCGTGCGGGAATCGAACCCGCGACACGTTGCACGGCAGCCGGTTGCCCAGCCACCGCACCAACCGTGCAGTCAAAAAGTTTTGGTACGTAGTTTCCGAAAAACTGCACGAATTTAAATGGTTCTTTATACGTCTTTATTCTTATCAGTGTACCTCTATATTAGGAGTAGGTACACATTTTCGGGTATTATACAAAGGTAGCAACGTATGTACTTAATTTTTATTACCACTTATTAGTTATTGTTTTATTATATCACATTTAAGGCGATGGAATAATAAGATTAGATAAAAATGTTTACTTAAGTAATTGTTGCACAGATTTAGTTTGATATTAAAGATTCGATTAATTTAAATTTTGGATAAGATAGTTGATTGCCCCTGGAGTGGAAATTTTGAATGATCAAAGAAAAATATCGTAAAAGTTGTTAGTTTCGAACGAGCTCTACCTCTGATGTTACAGACGTCAATAAGCTACTAAAGTCTCCGTACATAATAGGCTACGGAGCTTGTCGTACCTAATATGCTAAGAAAATATCCGCACCTAACAGGCTATGGAACTTTGTAACTTACGCTTAATGTAAAAAAATCGCTTTACATCAAGCTTTATAATAAGAACGTCAGTTATAAGGGTTATAATCGCAAGCTCTTTTAACATACAACCCTTAGATCATTCAGAATATTGATAAAACGTGTAAAAATCGAGTTTCGATTACGTCTACTGTTTTATATTACAAAATTATAGTCTTGATTTCCAATACGAATACGAGTATTGAGAAACTGCATACCAACCAACTCTAATAATCAATTGTAAAGATATTTATGACAGGTAATTTTAATCTAGAACTGATAAGTTAATGGATACTGATCCGGTATCGATAACTGTTTGGAAAATCAAAACAAATGGAGCTTTTATGTGTTCAATAAATTCATAAGAATTACGTTTTTCAGATAAGAAATTTTGTGATGTGGATATGGCTTTTTTGGCGTTGAAATGGGCTCCAATCAATAGCATTGAGGCTCTAATATTTACGGAGATATTTGCCAGATTTCATCGTGAATATACGCCACACTGTATTCCAGAATGGACTATAGCTTACTTCAAGGTTACCCGTTTTGAAGTGCTACGGCGATGATCGGATCCTAGATTGTAATGTGTAAATCGTGGGGCACAAGATAAAAGCTAACAACCCCCATGAGGCACGGTGATTAAATTATTAATGAAGATGACACGTTCATGACGAAAAATGCATAGTTCATCCCTTAAATTCTCGGTAGGACATGTTCGTGTCAACGGTTGATTAATTTATGAATCACATGGTAATTTCGAAGAATTAATTGGTTTTAGAAGCTATCGATACTGATCTAAAAAGTTCTAGAAGTTTTTTTATACATAGGTGTTTTGGTATTTTGAAATCTGTTCTGGCCGCTATAAATATAAAAGCTAGACGGAATGTAGGATATCACCGTTTAGGACTGACAGGAGTTATGTATCTGCATTTACATAAATGTTAGACCTCTAGTGGCTTGCATTATGTTCCCATTAAGCACGGTATTCGTTTTTTAAATTATTTAATTTGGTACTTGTTGAACATAGATGCAGAATACATAGACTACTGTCTTCTAAGTTAAGAGGATTGTTTTCTCTAATAGATTCCGACTGGCTTTTGTGTAATTTGTCTAAATATGTTACATTTAAGAATAAAACTATCAATCACAATTGACGCTTTTATTTAAAAAAATATAACAAATACTTTTAAAACATAATGTAGGTCATTTAAAAAAAATGTAACAAGATTGAAATAGGTTGTAGGGAATTGACTATGATTTTTTACATTTCTATATTATAAAAACATTTAAAACTATAAGTCCAATAATAGCGTGTATGGATTTTCGAGGTAGTTCTTTAGGTGATTTGAGAAACGTGCCATGGTAACGCCATCTATGACTCTGTGATCTGCTGAGAAACTCACTGTCAGTATGTGAGCCTTTCTTATATTGCCTTCAGCATCGAACCTTGGTAGAACCTGCAACAAATATATTTTGAATATATAATAATTTATTTTGGATTAAAAAAAAAGAACATGCTAATATACTTAAATCGGTGAATGAAATGAATGAAACGAAGAAGTGTACCTACACAATCTGTGAAATTTTACGTACCTGTATTTTCCCAAGTGCACCAATGGCTACTTGTGGTGGTAATATAACCGGCTTGGTGTAGGTCCCGCCAACCTAAAAATAATGTTAAATTCATTTACTATTTACGTAACCTTATTTGTGTTTGCCTGCAAATACCAATCTACTTACAATACCAATGTTCGATAGAGTAAATGTTCCCCCAGACAATTCACTAAGACCTAGTTGTCCTTTAGAACCTTTTTCTTGAAGAGTATTGAGTTCACGAGCTATATCGAGTATCGTTTTATTTTGCACATTCTGGAAACAAAGATGAAAATTAGGATGACAAAATAAGATGATTAATCGGATAGATAGGATAGTCAATATTTTACCTTAATTACAGGAACTACTAAACCGTTAGGTGTGTCCATTGCTACGCCAATGTTGTGACTAGCTTTGTAAGTGAGATGTTCACAAGTGCTGTCAAGACTGCTGTTCAATACAGGAATGTTTTCCAAGCCCAAAGAAGTGGCTTTGATAATGATTGGCATATACGTCAACTTCACTCCCCGAGATAAAGCAATGTTCTTCAACGCTTCACGGGATTCAACTAATTTGGAAACATCGTATTCATCGCTGTAACCGAAGTGTGGGATTTTCTGAAAAAAGTAGACTTGTTTACAATTATTGCTATTAATAGATAACATACATACAGGGTAGTTCTGGGTCAACTTTGTTCAAGGGGGTCTAAAGTATAAATTTTTTCGGTAAAACACCAGACTGGCAAGTAAAAAACCTTATGCTTGCAGCTAGTCCAAGTGAATGCAGGCCAAGAATCAATTTGCATATACAATCTTTTTGTAGCCCTCACATAGTGCCTGCTCTAATATAGGCGTAATGGTCTTCTTTCTGAATGTTATTTAAAAAGTTTAATAATTTTTTCTTACCATTGCTTCAGTCATCGACTTCACCATGGCTTTAGTGAAACCACTAACAGGAACCACTCGGTCTTCCAATAGAACTTCGACCTTGGCTTGAGCTGGAGTCATGGGTATTTGCACAGCATCCACACTGGTTGGGTCAGATACTCTGTTGGAACCGTCCGAGTCTATATTTAAATGGGCAAGCATATCTTCTTTGAGTACCCTTCCATTTCTGCCGGTAGCTTTGACGGTGCTTAAGTCTACCTTGAAGAAAATTAAGTTTTATTAATGACCAAGGATTAAGCACGTAGTAATAAAAGTGAACTTTGAAAAAATTTAAATAAAATCTTCATTAAAAATATTAAGGACTGAATTTGTTTGGTGCCTTCTAAAGTAAAAATATTCAGAAAGGAACGCTAATACGTTCGTGCTAACTATTATTAAGTAATCACTACTGAATTAACAAGTTTTAATTTAGTGGTCTTCTTTGGGCTTCTTTTACTAACTTTAAACTGCGCAGCTATCCTTCTTACGGAAGGCGTTGTTAGTACTTTTACTCTTTGGGGCTTTTCTTCTTTTAGTTCCTGTTGATTAACGGCAGCTGGTTTCTCGACTGACTCAGAAGAAGCTGAAAAATTAAAATCAATGTTTAATTTATTTATAAGCATTACTTATTATGACGTTATTATGTTTTTTTCTTGGGACAAGCCCGCCATAACCTCCCATAACCGCTGCAACTCCTGTAAGCCGGGATCTACAGTAGATAGTAGTACAACCATAAAAACACTGGAACACTGAAGTTCGGGGCGTCCCAATAACTGTCTTGGTTCCCGCAACGAAGTGAATCAGAAGATATTATAAGAGGAGAGGAAAAAAAACGATAGTTTCCACTTCACTCGGTGAATAACTGCAGGAGACAGGGTGAATTAGGCCTAAAGGCACAAAAAAAGAGACTGTACAACTGAGTGAAGCCCAGTCACCAAGCACCACGGAAATTTGACTAAAATCTAAGTGGGTCCTATGTGTGAGCAGTCTTATTATTTGTTGATTATCTACGAATTTAATATCACGTTTAGTTCTCCTTGTAGAGATATATAGATCAATAAGATTATACCCAAGAACTATTCCCAGCTCAGTATTATTATAAAGTATTATTATCCAACAGTGGATTGTCCAAAATTATTGAGATGAAGTTATTCACAAATATAATACACAGAATATGTGGCTGGAAATGAAGAAAAATTATACTTTCTAAAATAGTCATTATTCTGTTGGAGATGAACTGAATATTGGTTGAAAAAATAAAGATGAAAGCTACCTTTATAATAGGTAATTAGAGATTAACGTGTTGTGCATTGAAAATAAGATTGTATTTTCTTTTCAAATAAATTAATTTATTAAAGGATTTGAATATTGAGAAGCCTTGTAAAGTAGTGAATAATAACTACTATATTTACCTATCACTTTCTAGGGCCTAGCTTCCAACTTAATAAAAACCTTAACACAGACAAATCAAAGTTCAAACTACAACAAACCTTCATCAGCAGCTCCCTGTACTTCGATGTCAACAAGTGGTTGTCCCACCAGCGCTGTCTGGTTTACATCGTGGTAGAGTTTGGTGACCACGCCGTCGTATCGACTGGTGATAGTCACAGCAGCCTTATCACTCTGTACCTCGCAGATATTGTCGAACTGCTGTACTTTATCACCGACTTTCACGAACCTGGAAAATGAGGAGAGGTAATTCTTTAGTTGGTTTAGAAGTTGTTAAGTTAGAGAGCTTATATCTAGTGGTCGCAAACGCAATTGTTTATTGATTGATTGGTAATTCGATTTTAAAAGTTATCAAAAAGTACTTGATCATTTCGACAGTCGAATTACTAGTAAGATTCATAGTCTGATAATGGACTTGACTATCCTCTATTATATGGACCTCATTTCATAAGTAGTGAATAGTGGGTTCGGGGAATAAAAGGTAGGCATTGAGAATGAAAAACGAAATCTATTTGAGTTGGAGAATACTTAAAAAGTTAGATGGCTGCTTAGAGGTCAGTTATGAGCTGAAAGTTGTTAAAGTCTCACATAATAATATTATCATGATGTAATTTATTACTAACAACAGATTACGTTGACAGTATCTCATGAATTTTAATAATTTCTTAAACAAGTAAATAACTAGTGTTTATAGTGTGTAAATACGATAAATACAGAGATGTTACATCATACGCGACTTGAGGATAATTCAAAAGATAACGTTTGTTAATGAGACATTCAATAGAGAGTAATAAATTAGTATTTAATTTATCTGAACCTTGAATAGGTATTTTAAAGACCTTCGTATCTTAAATTTGTGTAACATATAGTCCCATGTAGAAAAAAGCCCCACGATGCAGTCGAGTTATTTTATTCGGGGTTTATTTTGAATAGATTTTTTCCAAAATGAAATATAGTCAATAAAATATAGGCCTGGAACCATTTTTGAAAAGGTTTTCTTACCATTCTTTTATAACGACTTCTCGTATGCCTTCACCGATGTCTGATAGTTTGAAAGCGACAACTTTGTTGAAAATTTGACTTGTATGTAACTGCCTGTGTCGAAGGTGGACTTCGGATAGCAATATACTGCGCTTTAATATATTGGCTGAGCATCTTGATAGTTGTCTTTCCTGAAATTAGAATATCAGAGTGCAAAATAAGTGTTTAAACATGTGCGAATGGATTTAACTTTGGGAAACTATATAGGTATAGCTAGCTAACATATGTCCAAAGATACCTAGAGTAATTATTACCCTATATTTAACTGGGTGCTTAATCGTTTTCCTTTATTTATTTATTTCTTTTTCACAAAAATAACAGTGAATGGCGGACTTAACAGTAAACCATAGCGAAGTGCACAAAAATGAATCGATTGATGCGAAGCCAGAACACAATTTTAAAAAAAGTAGGTAATTGTTATTATTAAATGTCAATATTTTGTTGCATATAATATAGTTTAATATTCTATAGTTTGTATCTGTGGATAGTCTTACGTACGGTTATTTGTTCTAGACAATCACTTTTGTGTACAAAATACTAGAAGTCAGTCAGTGCCTTGCATAAATTAAGTTAATAAATATATTTTCCCGGCGAATACGTCATTATGGAGATTAGCCTAGGTTCAAAACAAAATGAAGCCAAGTTATACATGTATCAGTATCTACGGAAACTTGCTTAGATATGTATTCTTCGTTGAAAAGAAGGTAATGAGGCGCAACGGAAATGTGTGGCAGTTCCGTTTTGCCTCATTACCATCTGTTCCTACAAATGTAGGTACGAGTAGGAACATTGGACAGAGAATATAATTTGGTATTCAGGAGAATATTTTTAAATTAATTTTACACAGAAAAATATATCATTTCAATTATTTATTTATTTTTGAAGACTAGTTAAACTGTCTAACACCAAGCGGTCACCGGTGACCGCAACCTATTGTTCTATAATTGTGTCTATAATGACGGTACTCGACGAGTTAAGATTTTTCTATAAGAAGGTAGACGAGGACTTTGATATCATGGTCTACGAAAACAAAAGTACTTGATTAGGATTTAATCAACGTGTTTTGAATGAATCCATGTAGGTAAGGTAATTTTTTTAAGGGGCGAGAATCACCGACTGGCTGCTCCCGCCTGGGTGAGGCTGGAGGGAGTGTCAGACTCTTACTGACTAAAAACCCCGTTCCTTCTCCTGCGCTTCGAGTCTGAGCCCCGGTAACCCGTTAGGTTCTCCGGGACATGTAGGTAAGGTATAAGTCCATAAATACGACAACGCGTTGAATTAACTAAATTCATTTAAACACTGTATTTCTTATAAACTGCTTCAAGTAACGGTAAATCATTAAACTCATTGCATTTATCTATGTTTACTTTCGCGAAACTAATGTTACCTTGAGGCTTATCTCTTGAAGCACCTCCCTCCGTTATTTGGCAATTAGTTGATAAGCATTACGTCTTTTTATAATACTGTTATCTTATTGCTATGAAGAAACTACTCTGATTTTTGTGTGCCACTGATAAAATATATGTAGGTAGGTGATTAGAATGATTACGCTTTTTTTTAATGGGGGAAAATCATCCAATGACTGCTCCCGCCTGGGTGAGCCGGGAGGGAGTGTCAGACTCTTACTGACTAAAACCCACTCCGTTCCTTCTCCTGCACTTCGAGCCGGAGCCCCGGTAACCCGTTAGGTTCTCCGCGACAGAATGATTACGCTAGTGATTGGACATAAATTACCATGATTTGTAATATGAAATTCTACTTTAACATTGACCTTCGCAGCGCGTTGTATAACGAAGCAAATCCTATTATGATTTACAAGCCTATTGTTACATGACGGATTGACATGATTTCATTATTTTTTCTAATTCACGATTATCAATCACGACGGTAATGGCGTGAGACGACTTAAAATTTTGTTAAAATGTCTTGTTTGTTGCTCATTAATCTGACGATTTTACTTAAAACCGGTTTCAATACTTCTTACAGAACAAAATAAACAACAAAATAAAACTTTGTCTGGTTAAAATACTCACAGTTTGCAAGAAAACACACACAGTTCTACACCTGTTGACATTCTTTAAGTTCACAATACACTTTCTCATAAGGAACGACATTATGACTATATTCGTACAAAATTATAAGCAAAACAAATTTTCTAGTTATAAATAATAAAGATTCATGTCGCGGGCCGGCTCAGTTCCACGCCTTCGCAAACACTACTGAATGTTATCAACTCATTATCAGTGGGCTGGGGCATTGATTACCATTTTAAATAATATTATACACGTTTAGTTGAATATGTTGTCAGTATGACGTAATAGGTAGGGGTCATCGCTCGTCTTAGAGTCAACTTGTTAACACCACTTTCATTAAAACTTGACTTATAACGCGGTTTAAATGGAACTAGTTGTGCAGCGTGCACAGTTTACCTTATTCCGTATCTATATTGCAGTTGTACTCGCATTATAGTGATTGCAGTTTGCAGTGTGTTGCCCCACTCTTCCTAACCGGTTTTATGTGTTTAAACACATGCGATGTTATCCAACCGAAGTTGGTAAGTTTAAAATGTGGCGGGTATTGTGATTTTTTTAGTTTACAAGTTAGGTATTAAAACAATGTAGTTATCAAACTATTGAAATAGCGGTTTAAAAATCAGTGTAACTAACGATAAAAACGTTATGAATTATTCAACTGCAACAGACGGCATCGTTTATCGGAATCGTAACTTTTAAACACGACTTGACTAGAAAACTAATAATATCTACATATGTAGAAATACAGTCCCAACAATGCAACTATTATAATGGTAATTCGTCACTAAAATAAAACGATGTAATAAGCAATTGTTTTATTAAAGACATAATAAACATGTTAATAAAGTGAATAAATACAATAATATAATCAATAACTGTAATGTCATGTATGACGAGACGCAGGAGGCAACCCATATGAGAATAACATCAGATTGCGAGTACATGAATACGAACCGACGACTCCTAGTCTAAATAGCTAACGTGTATCACAGAGGCGCTCTGCAAAGTGTCGCTACCGATCATTGTTTTAGTCCGCAGCTGATACAATACAATACAATACAATACATTATACAATATACATACTATGTAACAACACACAGATAAAATAGCATTTAAGTTGTCATTATCACTATCAACTATTGCTTTTATTCACTGCACATAAATAAATTAAAATCTTCTAAAACAATGACTGTGCATACTTCGACTCGCGCCGTTCACAAGTTTATGAATATGTCAATAATTATCACATCATAACTGCCTACATGTACATTATCTAATTATACTGAAGAATATACAACATTACATTATTTAGATGGAGTTATTTATAAAATGAATGTGTGTAAAAACTTTATTGTGATACTGGAAGAAATTGGAACTCGCATGTCTTAGAGGGTCGAATCCAGACACGGAGCACCACTGGAAGAGCTAGGTATTGCATTGTAACTGTACACGAGTGCTTAATCACATTTAGACATACATTACTTCATTCTCTTATGACACAGAGCGCATAAAACATATTAATATTGACATTTCTACTTTGTACATATTTGGTAGATAAATTATTATAATCCTTTAATAGCAGTTGACGTTACAACGTCATTTAAAACAATAATATAAAGTATAAAGCGTTAAATAATGTTGCATTTGCTCCCGATTTTGTACAATTAAATATAGCTTTGACAGTAAATTACTTTATCAAATGCTAAGTGACGCTAACAAATAAATACAGTCAAGCGATTACATTATCATAATTTAATGTTTTACTGAACGCGTTATATTGTAAGCCGCTAAATACACCATACTAAACTTAGAAATAAATTGAAATTTGCTTATTTAAATTCCTGACTTCAGTAGATGTAAGTAGGAAATAGAACAGAATGCATCAGAAGATTCTTAACAATGGTATTTTGAAAATTAAGAAAATAAATATAATTGTCACTGCTCCAGTTCCTGTAATAACATCGAGTCTCTTGTTCCGAAGTCGTCTTAAGCATGAGGTACCCAAACCTTATCAGTCAACTGATGACACAGAATCTCAAAAAGCATTTGAACATGACACGCTGTGAGTATTATGTTAGTGAATACATAATTAACGTCGTAATGATTTACCTTATCAATTTATAATTTCAAGTCTAGTTGGTATTTAGTTATCAAAATTTCACTAGCCTTTTATAATGTTATTTTATTACACCATAAGAGCAAGGCCAACATTTTTGTAATTTGCATGAAGACGAAGGGAAACATGCGACGTTGCTACCAACGTTGCGTAGGTAAGCGACGCATGACGCTTGCAAGCAGGTAATATAGTTTTCCTCCTTTGATACCAAGTAACCACATCGCAATTTTCCCTGACCGTCTCCTGCTACTAGTTAAATCGTTAACAAAGCGTTTTACTGCTATGATGACAGTGAAAATGTGGTGAATACCTATTTAATGTATAGTCTGTTCGTATTAACTACTGCATTAAAAAATTAGCCCACCGAGAACATTACTACATCATTAGAGAAAGAACTAACAAGACGAGACAAGACGAAGAACGATATGTATTCGTGACAGACACCGTACAATCAGGATGTAACGCCGAGATCATTCATTCATCACAAGACTGTTGTTTGGAAACATCGATACTTTTCTAGGCAAGGAGTTCCTGCATCTAGAAATTCAGACCAACAATAGAATACCGTGAAATTGGAAGACTCAAAGGGAAGCATTCCCAATACCGCTTTGGGATAACAAATCATTCACTCATCTCAGGAAATATGGAAGATTACAGAACTTTGGAAGGATTGATTTTATAAATTATAGAAAGTAATACTTAGTAGGGTTGGAATTTTAAATACTCCAGTTAGTATTAAAAATAGATACATTGAAAATAGTAACTTGTCTATCAATTTCTTAATGCGATACTGTTGCCTATTTGTCAAATTTAAATACGTTACAAAACGTAAAAATACTCTGCAATATTGATATCAGAAAATTTAAGGTTGTATATCTATTTTGTTATATCTTATCATTTAGAAGTTCTCTCTGGTTGCCGTAGACTATCATAATTAGAGTACGTAATACGTATCACTCATTGAATTAAGATTACCTATCTAATAGTGAAGAGTGATGACTTGATCCTCGTTGTACGGTCTCTTATATTACGCATTAATCGTCGACAGTACAATTCCGACGAATTTTAGAACAGTAAGTAGGTACCGAACTACATGCCCATCTAGTCTGACACCGTACACGTATAGTGAAGCAACAACATCAACTAAACATCGAAGTGAGTAATTATGTAAATATGTACTATCATTGCGATCCAAACATCACAAATATGAAGTCAGAATATCCCTTTATCAGTGGCTTACTTTTGTTGCCCCCTCAATCGCCAAATTATACGTTCAATTTGTGATGTTTGAAACTCCTTTTATTCAGATGTGTCATGACACTTATATAAGTAGAGATAATGAGTCTCTTGACGCTTACACAATATGAGTAAATACATTTACTAAAAGCTCAGCTCTTAGCACTTAGATGAATTTGAATATTTTTCTTTGTGAGATATTCCAAATGTGCAATTTGAACATTAGAACAGTTCTTAAAGTTATACTATCTATAAATTCCGGTTTTTGGTGTACTTAAACGAGTCGTTTATAATATCAATTTTCATGTCATCATTTAAATGAAATATTGCAATAACAATCTTGGATTTATTTGGGTAAAAGGGTAAGTTCATATTGACCACACTAATCTGCAAGGTTTGCCATGACTTTAACCTTGCCTACCGGAGTTTGATCGATGTCGACAATAAGAAGATAGTGATAAGCCAATGCTTTTATATATCATTGTGGTCAGTGGATTAGAAACTATTGGTAATAGCAGATTAATTTATATCGACCAAGAAAGGAATATGACTGATAAATCAGCTTACTACATTTTTAGAATAAAATAATGGTTGTCTGGAAGTATTTACTAATTTTCTGTTTTGGGTACAATAAGCATTGACATCGACTACACTAACCGACTAACACAAACCATTGTTTTCGTTGTAATTTTCACAAGTTTTGTAATTATCACGAGTGATATATAAATTGACTGTTTTTTGGTGAAATTAAATTTTATCGGAACAAAAGCGTTCGTGAAATTGTAAAGTAGAATTTAAAAGCTGCAGGAGAACGTATCGAATCAAGTCTTTATGTTTATCTTAGACTTAAAATATATTGTAGACTAGAAGTACAGTAACCATCAGTGTATATGTAAGGTTTTAAGAAATATTGAGGCATTATTGCCACCTTTATAAACTTCGGATCTTATCAACGGGACTTATTTGTTTGTGTTTGAAACCGAAGGTAGGCTTTTAATCAGCTAATAATTCCTTTTGCGAGAAGAAAGAAATATAGTTTTAAGATTCATATGCAGTTATGTTAAATGTAGAACACGGATTTCGAAAATATGTATGCAGTAAACCTTTGATGAATATTACATAATATAAACTCGCGCAGTAACTTTAATATTTTATCACGAATTTAACACATCTTACCACTAATAAACAATTAATTACTTTAACATTAAAATACTTTTAGAATTCCACATTTGAATTTATCGATCGCTAAAAAATTAGGTATAATTACAATTCCTTTATTCTATCAGTATATGGAACTATTCATCGCTCTGTTCGCATTACTTGCAATTATAAAAATTGTCACTTTAGCATAGTGTTCATTTGGATAGTTACTTGAGCGTTAAGTACACTGCAATGCATACAGTCGACAGGTACGTCGGCACTAGACTACTCACACAGTAATTACAATATTACACCGGCACTCATTAAAATTATCATACTCAATATACACTAGGTGTTCACTTGCTGCATCAGTGCCACTGCAGGACTTTACATAGTTCCACCGTATAAGTCTTAGTTCGAGCAAACGAGAAAACGTCGCAGTGCATGCCGAGTTGTTTAACAGGGATTTTAAGAGAACGAACTCAAACCACTAACGTAAGCATGTTTCCGTATTTCACTTCTATTCAAACGTTTAATTTCCGATATAAAATACGGCACTGTCTTGTAAGGGCACCATGTAGTTAAGTTCACAATAGAACGAAGGCTCGCTAGAAGTCTGTGGTACGAGGCGAGTCCGTTCGCTCGGTTAACGGTCAGGGAGTCTTGAGCGATGGTGACATGTGAGTGGGGGAGAAGGTTTGTGGGGAGACGAGCGGCACCAGCTCGGGCTGGAGCCGCGGCCCGCGTCACACGGCCGGCTCCGAAGCTATCGTCATCTCCGCAAACTTGACCTCTCTGCCGCGACGGAACGACGTCGTCCGTCGTGGTGGACTCCGCCGCCGGGGTGGTGCTGCTGGCTGCAGGCTCGCCGACGATGCCTGTGCCAGTAACCGTGGCGGCTGGGCCACTCGCC